TCTAAAAACCATAAAAAATTCCAGACTTTTTAGGCTTATATTTCCTTAAGTCAATTGTTTCTTCGAACTTCGCGCATGAACACCAAATACGAGAAAGTTTTCTTTGGGTTATTGCTGATTACCATAAGAGTACATGCAAATTTTAAGTCACTATAATTTTTCAAAACACCTATGAATTGATTTAAAATTTTGCAGGTAGCTTTTTAATAGTAATAGGAATCTATAATAACAAATTCAACGTGCTAGCATTGTTAAGTGTATAGCCTATACATCCTTAAGAGGATTTTTTTAGACTGAAATCACGGAATGAAAAATAGCGAAAGGTAATCGATTTCTCCTGCAACGTAATCGATAGAAGGGTGACAGTATTGTTCTTCACTCCAGGCAATTTCGAGCTCCATTCATTGTCAAGTTTTATTTGCTGTCGCAGGAAAGTAGAACTTTCCCAAGATCACTGCAACTTCTCCATTACGACAAGTTTCATAATTTCATACAGTAAATATGTACCGAAACAAGCTCATTTTGCTACTAGTCTACTTTTCCATTATACATAAGTTCCACTATCTTTCATTTGCAATATGTACGATCTTTTGATTTTAGCCACTGTTCGACATATACGAGTATTTTATGTTGTTAATTAAATTCTGTAATTATGCTAGCGCAGTACATTGATAAGTGAAATTAAAAGAAGGAATTGAGTTTTTTAAATGCGATCCTCCCCGCATAATGTTACTTCGCAGAAAGCATTCGCTCAGTAGGCAGTCCGTGTTCATTGGACAATTAACAAGAAGGATAGTGTAAATGGACATTCTCGACGACAGTGCTATTCTCGCTGGTATTTTGCGCGTTGAACAAGGAGCGAACGGCACGCGGCGCGCCGCCAGAGGAACGAGTTATCCTTGCAGGAAATTTAATTAGTTTTCAAGAGTGGTTACCCATTGTCTTTTCCTTTATTTACCGCGATCTGTGGATGACACGTGCCGAACTTCATTTAAATTCCACCATTGACATATAAAATCTCTTGAAAATTAGTCGAGGTCGCCGGTAAAATTTGTTAAATTAGGCGTCCCCGATTGGATTCGGTGAGTAGTTTTACAGGGTTTATAAATGCGGTGCTTGGTACATCGGATTATACGAATTCGTACGACGTTTACCGTGACGTGCAATTCGTACCGCTGCTTCGTTCATGCTCGCGGTAGAAACATTAAGACGCGCGAAGTTTATCAAAGCCCAATTTCACGTAAGATCTGCGATGAAGACCTTCCTCGTGGTTGCGTTTATCATTCATCTGTAATTTCCGTCTCGAGAAAGTAGGATGAGAACGTGCCTCACGGGCGTCGAATTCACGTTCGGAGACGTAAAAGATCGATTTCGTTAAGCAGCGACATTTTTTAATATGTGAATAATTAATTTATAATTGAATTAATTTGACAAACATATACTTGACATTACGAATGTATCAGACGTATCATATCTATTTTACAAGTGTTTTCATGTAAAGCTAAGCATCGGTTTATGTATAATCCCAAGTTTATAAATCCAGGGATTTGAACTTGCTGCGAGCTATTAAGCTCCACTCGACAATCTTAAGATCTGATGATAACATAATGTTTTAACGATTCTCTTCGACCTATTATAAATTCACGTTATTTCCCGCTAATCTAAAACGAGGAAATTTCTCAGAAATTTGGTATCACACAGCAGCCTGGACGATTTACGATGCCTTCCACGTAGTCATCTTTTAATTCCCAAGCTGACAAGATTTCGCCACCTACGTATTCGAGGTCCATATGACGCGGGCTATTGCGTTTCAGGAAACAGATGATAACGGCAAAGGTCGGATCTGGCGCCGAATTATGTGCGAGAATAGCAGGTTCTTCGCGGAATTTTCGCACGAACGAACACCCATTGAACAACCCGTGCCGTGATCCATGACCGATCCCTTCCTTTCACCCAATTTTTACCCTTGGAAGCGTTAACGACAGTTTACGCGCGATAAGGTGGGAAATGTGCTTCGCTTTAAAAATTCGAACGCCCCTGCGTGGGTGGGAAACAAAGGGAAGGTTCGATGTATGCGGTTGAGATTTCGGGAACGATTTAAAGAGGGGACGAGACCGAATGACGTATCTTGTGATAGAGTTTTAGGTAACCTTAGACATTGACTTCTTCATTCGTTATTTATTAAATTTCTATGATATTGCAAATTCTATTTTTTATCCCAGACAACTAATAATTTTTTTTTTTATTACGGAAGTGGAGAGATTGCATGCAGCTTGACATGTCAAAAGATCTACACGGACTGTTACCCTCTATCTAATAGAAATTCCTATCCGCTTCTAACAAATTCCACGCATTGTACTAGCGCATAGCATGCATCGTGTCCATACTTTTCAAGGTAAAACCTGAAAAGAATTTACTTTTGTAATCCAGTGCCTAAAGTCTTCAACTACACATTAATCTTTTTACAAACTCCTCCAACATATTCCTCTACTAAAGAATTAATACACATTTCTTATTAATTACACATTTAAGACCTAAAACTTACGTATATAATTTGCGTCTGAATACAATAAAGCACAATTTGAATTCTGAGAGATTGAAAAATAAATATCAGTTCGGAGGCGAACTTTTAAACTGAAATAAATTACGAATTTCAGTATTTTGCACGGGACGTTATCAGTTTCGCAATGTTCGTTCAAGCATAAAGATTTGTCTGATGGGTCGCTGGCAATTACACAGGCGCATATGTTACCGGGAGAAACGTTCGTCAAGCAGTTTCGTCAATATTTTCCCGGTCGTGTTGCGGGGGTGGTGCAAGTGGCAAAAATAAATCGTGATATGTGTGCATATACGTACGCTTCCTGGATGACGAGTACGAGTCGCATCAGGTGACAACACGTTGGCCGTGATTGATACATTTTTAGCGAACGAATTTTTCATTTCTAAGCTGCATTTTAGTAACCATTTACTTTCATCTTTTTAGGTAAATGAGGGAGCCATGAAATTATAAAACAATGAGATATAAAAATGAAATCAATGGTAAAACACATGTAAACGAACAAATTATATTATACTTCTATGAGAAATTGTATACGACAATCCATATATTTGTTCAAATCAAATCTTTAAGTCGGGGGAAATTCTCTTATCATTCTTATAAAGCACAATTTGAATTCTGAGAGATTGAAAAATAAATATCAGTTCGGAGGCGAACTTTTAAACTGAAATAAATTACGAATTTCAGTATTTTGCACGGGACGTTATCAGTTTCGCAATGTTCGTTCAAGCATAAAGATTTGTCTGATGGGTCGCTGGCAATTACACAGGCGCATATGTTACCGGGAGAAACGTTCGTCAAGCAGTTTCGTCAATATTTTCCCGGTCGTGTTGCGGGGGTGGTGCAAGTGGCAAAAATAAATCGTGATATGTGTGCATATACGTACGCTTCCTGGATGACGAGTACGAGTCGCATCAGGTGACAACACGTTGGCCGTGATTGATACATTTTTAGCGAACGAATTTTTCATTTCTAAGCTGCATTTTAGTAACCATTTACTTTCATCTTTTTAGGTAAATGAGGGAGCCATGAAATTATAAAACAATGAGATATAAAAATGAAATCAATGGTAAAACACATGTAAACGAACAAATTATATTATACTTCTATGAGAAATTGTATATAACAATTCATATATTTGTTCAAAGCAAATCTTTAAGTCGGGGGAAATTTTCTTATCATTCTAATCCACGAAAGGAATCTTAGTTCTTTTTTTATTGCAACGCAATCTCGTTTGTCTCGCATCGGAGCTGCGTTTGCAATATTCCACCACGTTTCCAAGGTGGAGAAACGTTGTACATTGTAGAGAGGCATTTAATCGATTTAAGATAGATGCGTTCCTTAAACGATTCTTTAAAGAATCTAACACGTTGCAGTATGAGAAACCGTTTGTGTCGGCAGTGACGTGACACGACAGGAATAGTAAGAAAGCAAGCGTTTACCTTCAATCGTTGCACTTATCCAGGAAAAGAAGAAACCGTGTTCCGGTACGAGTGGCTGTCGTCGAAACTCCGTTTGGATCGGAAAACGCTTCGTCACTCGTTCTCGCGTTTCGTTCGATCGATTTCCGATCCCTTCGCGGGCAAACCTGCGGGAGTTTCGATATCGCGAAATCCTTATCGATCCTTAAATCAGTTTTCCAGATTACGGTTGAAATTACGTAGTTGAAAAATTGTTTATATATCAAACTTCTGTTCCATGACTGTAATCTCAAAAAATGTTAAGGCAACAAATTGGAAGAAGCTTATTAGACGCTTGATTAGTTCTATTCATTGACACATTCGTTTACTTTTGAAACGTGAACTTCGGTGTTGCCTTAGGAATGCAATTAATGTACATGTATGTATGTGTATGTAACCATGGCTAACGTTTGGTTGTATGGAAGAAAAGGGAGTCAATTTAATGAGACAAGCCCTCGATTATCGGTGACAGTGTTCCAAACCACGTCAAGCGTGATAATCCCTTAATTGCAATAGAAACTTCAATATATTAATATAACTTGTCCCTAATCTCGTAACTTAATCTCTTTACTTCAATATTTTTAATAATTATTTCCATATTTGTTTTAAGGATATTCGATTTAAGTGGATTTCAAGTACGAAAAGGTTGATCAGTGGACATCTGTTATCTTCTATTTGCTGATGTTTACGTTCGCTGACGAAAATTGGATTTGAAATCCAATTCAATTCTCTCTGTCTGAGTTAATTACGTTAAACATCGCAAGCAGCCAATCAATGTTTCCGATTGGTCTCTTTGATGTGTGACATCCGCAGAATATTGTTGTGCTTGTGTTTTCCAAGTAGCAATAAGGGACCCTCATAAATAACATGATTCAATTATCATTGAATATTACATGATTTAATATATTATTGAATATTACATGATTTAATATATCATTACTTGTTAATCTTATTATATGTACATTCTTCAGGGTGTAAATGATTAGTACGTGTGGGTGAAAGGCGAGTTATAGAAGCAGTTAATGTAAACCAAGTCCATTTCTGGGCCGACAGGTATATTTACATTCTTCGTTTTAGTTGGTATTCCTATTTTGATACCAGTATGTGCTTTCATAGCATAAGACGTGCGACGTGGTCGGTGGAAAATTGCATCATTTTATTTCTATTTTATTGTCAGTTGCCACGGCAGGCGTTGATTCCACAGGGTTTTGCTATTATTATAAATTCTCACGTTCTGTTGTGGGTTGCAGTTCAACGAAGTTCGTGTAATATCTAGCGGCTCGACTGCGCCGGATTGCCGTTCAGTTTCACGATATGCAGTTGCCGTCCTCGACATTTGTCCGAACTTCATAAAACGTCGTGCGCCCACTGGGACGTGTAAACTATTGTTTACCGCACGATTTCTGCCTTAATGAATCGCAGCTTAATTTCATTTAATTTAATTCCATGCAGTCTGACTTTATTTAATTTAATCGAATTAATGGTGAATATTTTTCTGTATAATCGTGTGTTCTTAGCAAATTTTATATCGATTAATTATCATAAGCACAGGTTGCTTACTATTCAAAGGCAGACGTCGGATAAATACGCTACTGAGCTCGTTAGGCTATTATGGTTACCTCCGTAGAATATCTCGGTTAATGCTTATGTACATACATACGTAACATCATGATTGAGTTAGTAGCTAGCTTGGAAATCTTATTGTGGACTAAAAGGATCCCTAAATTACTCGGGGCTGCATGCATCAGCGTATTGATCGAGAATAATATTCTGACATCAGCTCGAACACTGAAAGTGTAAACAGGTTTTCGAAATTGATAAATCATGTAAAAAGTAATAAAAAGAAAAGTTGTTTTAATCGCTCGCTATAAATAATAATTAAACAGAGTTAAATAGTATTATTGGTGACGTTCCCCCTGTAATTAAATTAATTTAGACAGATGACGAGCGTTTAATTACAAAGCGGCTGTCAGTCGCTCCACACATAATGCGTTAAATAATTTCCTTGTTTCGGTTATAAATTCAAGCTGAAAGATTTTGACGGCTCTTCTCCTAAATATTAAAAGTCAGAGCGCGACATTTGACGTCGTGTTGCAAGTGCGTAATTAATTATGCACACACGTGACGCTAGGAAAGTGGTTGTTTTCTGAATGAAAAACAATCTCTACGAATCGCGCTTGTTTTACAGTTGAAACATTGTTCATTTATCTGATTAAGAATTTATTCCAGAATCAGTAATTATTATTTTATTTTATTTTTATTTCTGCTTCTTTTAGAACAGTTCATTGTTCAGTATTGCAACATTTTGTACGTTCGAGATAAAGCTTAAGGGATTGCGTGGATTCTTCAAGATAGGTGGTTTGTGTGACGCGAAGCGCAAAATAAGTATTCAACGATGCGTCATATGCACCGTTTTATGTTAAATGGAAATTTCCATTTTTTTATTAATACGTTTAAAGAGTTTTGAAAAAAAGAGATAATTCTTCGTCATTCTCTAAAATCAGATGTTGTTCTAAACTCTGATACAAGAGAAATATTAATATATTAATCTCTTGAAATCAGAGACAACAATTGTCTTCTTTAATAGTTGGCTTTGAGGAAATCAAATAGAAGCCAACTTACTTTGTACAAAAGGTCTATTTTAATACCCTTAATCCTTCAGAACATTCCATCCAACTATTCAGAAATGTGAAACCGAGACATTTGAAACATAAGGCAGGTAATAAAATGTAACACAACACAATGTTTATGCAGTTTCTATTTTACAATACAGATAACGTTAATATGGTATTCTTAACAATTATTTGAATTTCTGTAAAATCGATATTACGGCAATAGCCATTTCGAACCGACATAAAAGAAGCGATAGTAATAACGCAATAATGAGGCAATTATTGTACCGAAATATTACCAAATTATTTTTAATTTCACGTGATTTTATTCCGGATCGATTTTGAAACGGGCAATTCTTTCGATATAAATTTCCACTAAAATGTCTTCTTTACTAGAATACATGGAAGCATCGTGTCCAATGACAAGCACAAGTAATTGAAGTATTGGCCTACCATTTGAAATACTATACTCTATCCTTACAGGTGACATGTCAAGATGAAGACAGCACTCAGTGCATGCCAAGGACGACTTTTCTAGCCTTGCTGCGACACCCGGAGGCCAGTCCGAGCTTAGCCGCGTATTCGAGATCGGGGAAAGCGTCGGCGGACGCGAAGAGTCGAAACGACATGGCACACTTGAAAGCTCTAGCCGAGGACACTGACGACGCAGAGATTTGCATACCCAACCGCATTTATTTGCAATTGTTGAAGGATCCGATAGCACGCGGTGATCTCAGTTTCGCTCTCAACGGCCGAACTCAGAAGCTATCCGATTTTCTAGCGCGGCTAGTCAATGTTAACGATCCCGAAGACATATCATTAGACGAACCGAGGGAATATCATTCGAAATCTCAGAAAAGGAGTATCGCTACTCTGGCGAAGAACGATGATCTGCCAATCAGCCTGCACGCTCGCATCGCCGAGAATGAGGACGGCGAAAAGAGAGCCATAACATCGCGGTAATATTTAGAAACATATTCTGTCTTTCAAAGAATTAATTCAATATATTGTATGCGAACAGATTTTGATTCATTATAAACCTCCCTAATTTATCCATTTAAATTCAATTCGTTCTTCCTCAGCAGCGAGCAATCCGGACAAACTGATGATCTTCTTTCCGACGAGGCTTCTTTGACTCGAGACTTCTCGATGCAGAAACGCAACGTGGGCACTCTGGCACGCGATTTCGCTCTGCCACCAGGCAGACGTAACATCGCGTCTCTGGTTCGCGATTACGAACAGAACAAGTCGAACAGAGATCGTATGCTGCCCCTGAACGGCAAAAGGAACGTCGCTTCGTTGGCCAGGACGTACACCCTGCCTCAGGGTGGAAAGAGGAACGTAGCGTCAGTGGCTAGAGAGTACGGCCTGCCTTATGGAAAGCGATACGTCGGTTCCTTGGCTAGGGCAGGCGATTTTCCTACCCGCGAACAACGAAGCGTTTCCTCCTTGGCTCAACACTCCGCTTGGCCCGTCTCGTTCAAGAGAGGACTCTCCGTACCTGGGAGTGTGATCTACAGAGCTCTTTCTCGTCAAGGTAGATCGATGCCGGATGAAATGAACGCGAGGGAGGAACTGCTTGCCCTTCAGGAGCTGAGCAACATGGAACAGGATCAGGATGACGATTATTACGACGCTATCGATGATATGAATGATTCCTGGGCGAACATCAGGAGATCCAAGAGGCAGCTCAGCTTTTCTGACGAGTATCCCTTGCCTGTGATGCAGAATGCGAATGTGTTTGATTATGAGGAGATGATGGAGGCGCTCGATGGACAGTATCCCAACACGGAGAAAAGGTTCATGGGTGAGTACATTTTCTATAATTGTTTGTTGTGAAATAAGAAATTTAAAATATAAATTGTTCTTTGATTGAGTACAGACTTTGCACAATAAAGGAGAGGGCGAATTGTAAAAATTCTTTCAAGCTATTATATTATATTTAAATATTCGTTAAGGTTTTTAAATTTATACATAAAATTCAGCATCTTCGATCATCATTAAATCTCGTTTACCAACCGTACAAACTGATCAAATAGAACAAGTTAGGTTTCGCTAGTAGAAATTAAGATCTGTCGCGTCACGAGACGGAGAATGTTAAGCGCGTGGTCGAACGCGGGAGTCAGAGGACCGACGGATAAATCGATCGGTGTTGTCTGTGAATGTCGGGAACAGGTTCCGCAGAGGAGACACAGCCGGAGTTAGGCCAGTTGGGCTACCCGGAAACGTTTCGCGCGAGTAAAAGACACATCGGGGCCCTGGCACGTCTCGGTTGGCTACCAACGTTGAGGGTCGCGCGGTTTTCGCGATCCCCTCGCTATCTGATTGGCAGGTCAGGCCATTAGGTTCTCACCTGCTCCGTGTCTTCGACACACGACAATACATACATAATATATATGTATATATACTATATTTGTCTGCGTGTCTGTCTTTCTCTCTATCGCTCTTTCTGTGTCCTTTCTATCTGTAATGTCCATCATCCTCCTCTCATCACGCTGTCGCCCCGAGAAAAAATGTTAACGTAGCGGACAAATGAAAATGATAGACTGCGGGGGAAAAGAAGAAATATTAATCAGAGATGGGAAATCCCACGCGTCGTTATAGTTTACGCCATCCTCCACTTCACTTCTTCTTCTACATGGACCGTTCACGGTAGTTAGTAAATGCAATGTAGGTGTTTTGGTGTTATCATTAATTATCTGTGTTAAAGAAGTGACGGTTCTGATCTTCCGTCACCGTAGACTGGCTGGGGTAGATGTCCTGTCGCGAATAATAATAATAATTTGATTAATAGCCGATAGGTAGCTTTAGATCTGTTTGATGAACGCAGCGACCAATTATAGTAAAGATCAACTAGTGCATAAACTAACTAAAATGCTGTTCTATAGTATTTTCGTTACTTTTAATTAATGGCAGTATATCAGTGTTTAGGTGCCGCTGTAGTGTAATTACGAATACTGTGCGTAGAATTATTAAATTCAGTGTGCTGTATAGATTAGCAGTGTGATTAGAGATGAAATAATAATTTCGTGGTCTAACGTGAATGATCGATTCTAGGGAGAATCCCGCAGATGGGCCCACGTCCGACTACTCCGCCGACTCGACAAGGTCGCTAAGACCGAATTTCAATCCAAGGACACGCTACGTTCGAGCTTCGGACGAGGATTGTCGACGGTATTGTCACGGCTTCAAAAGGTTTCTCATCTTACCGCCAAAGGATAATAATAATTACTTCCACAAAAACCTACCCAGCTCGTTGCTTCGGTCCAGGTCGTACTAAACTTTCAATAAAAACCGTTTTTCGGCAAAAGGAACATCGATAAATCAATGGTTCTATTGGTATCTCTGCTCGCACGTCTTCGAACGCTGATGCTAATCGATATCTCGCTCTGCAACAATGTGAGCGTTTAGTATTTACCATCGTTTGGTACAAGACTTTATCCTTGCTTTATAATAATCAATGGCAGGTAGATGTTTCGTTGTGGTTCCGAACCAAAGGCATATGAGGCGCATCGTACTTTCATTCCATGACAAAATCTTTAAATATTCGTTAAGATTTAAAAGATTGTCACGTAATGAATACTGCGTCTAAAATTATATTTGTAATAATATTCTGTTCCTTTTAATGATTATGGGTTTTCGCTTTAGAGCCACGTTTGGGATTTACGGTACTAAATTTTTGTCACTGATAACAGAATTTTATAAGATGGATTATTTACGCTTTCTATCGATATACAATGATGATACGTACTATTTTGTATATTATACATACTATATATACATGCATGTATTACAAACCTCGTGGTACATTTAATTTAAAGCTTACTCTAACTTAATATTCTAAACGTACACTTAAGGGACAATGGCAGTCAATGCGAGACGAAATTTTGAACGGCGAGGTATTTTAATTATTAAAAAATACTATTGCAATGATTGCTATAGTTTACTTAATCGTATTTATTAATTATATAGTTTGAAATAGTTTGTTAAAGAACTTGCATTTACATTTTGTAACTGTAACAATTTTTATGGAACGTTGATGATCCTGGCTTTGATTTTCGAAAGTCGTTTGTATTAGTTACGATAACAGTTCTTAATGTAAGATTTTGTTAGGATATCGTATCGGGGATCTTTTTCAAAAGACAATAATCAACGCCAATAATATTAATCATTCTATAATGGATACATCTGTTTTGCAATGTAAAAAGGACGTACTTCGTAAATACTAAAACCCATCTTTACTAAACTTATGCAATTTTACTTTTCAACTATTGTAATGGCAAGTTTTTAATTTTACTTACATAACAATGTACTTACGTTGCAAAATACACGTGTATCCAAATCGTAGCGTAGCATCTAAAATTATAATAAATCAGAAAATACGATTGGACAGTCTAAAGCGTTTCTGAATCCGAATTTCAGAAATTATTCTTTGGCTTACAATTGTCCGCCGAGTGAACAATTGTTTTAGACATTCATGTACTTTTGAGAGACTCTCCGTCAGTATTTCTATAATATATGTAACTGTTGTTAAGTAAAAAAAAAAAAATAGAGAAGCCGTGACGCGACCTTTGACGTAAAGTAGTAGTCGGTGTAAATGTTAGTGCTCAGGATTCGCCAGCTCGTTAATGGCAAATATAATGCGAAATTCAGCTTTCTTTTGTTCGTGACACAGGTTTCAGTGAGTTCGTAATCGATAGATCATCGTGTAATACGTGTGTAATGTTAAATGTAACAACGCGCGAGGAACCACGGCGTGTATTCATCGTTCGATTCTGCGGGAATGTATATTTATGTGTTTGTCTAGACAATAACGATCAAACGAGATGACAATAAAGCGATAATAGTAAACGATTAAATAAAAATCTTATTTGTCATATCATCAATTAAATAGTATTCCCTTCTTTACATTCTCCCATGATCTGTTTAATACAAAAATTATGATGATTCAATCGCATGGAAACTTACCTGTATTTTCGTTTTAAGGAAATTCGTTTGGAGAAAAAATTCACATTTAATTAGAATCAATAAAATATTTTCTTTGTACATTTATAAAAAATATTACACATGTCTGTCATATTTATAATATTAATGGTATAAAAATATATACAACGTTTATTTACAAATATGGCCAATATACATAATGATAAAGCTCTTTATGATTATTTCTTATCACTTTGTGAAATTCTTTCTCTACATAATTCATGAGCAATTGCGTCTTTCGATGTGGTTCTTCATCACCTATTTACACGTATGAAACATTAATTATCAAAAGCGTAAAAATTAAGTCGACGTTAAATACAAAGTATTAGTACGTTAAATAAAACAGTTAATAATTTAATAAATAAGTTCATCCTACACTTTACAAATTATATGTATACATTTTCATGGGTGCCAATTATATTGTACTTGTGCAGGACGAAAAATACTGACACTGCTCTATTAGATTATTAGGTGAATCATAACTGATTAATATTAATACACTGTCGATTTTTACTGTAACATCTAGACTGTAAAAAGGAGTAACGTTTGAACTCATCGATGAGTAGAAGAAAAAGTGAGAGTCGAATTCATCATGTGTTGAATGAATCGACGCGGAGAGGCGATCGATACCCTAACTGACTTTAACTAATGTCCATGCAATCATCGTCGTTTAAAATATGCCGCCCACGCTTCGATGATAGTTGAGTTGAGCGTGTTGGGAATAATCGTACCCCTGGTCGTACCATTCCGCCGCCGATGCAGAATTCCCGGTACCGGAGGACGACGGCGTACCACCAGCATGACTCGCGTGCGAAGAATGCTGATGACTCGAATGACTGGACGTGTATTCACCTTGGAAGTGATTGAACTGTCCCCAGCTAAGTTGCGCCCTGGACCAGTCGGCGTTACCTGAAATTGGGTCGCACCTACGTTACCATAAATGCAACAAATATTCAAATTGGCTCTAGGAGTTTCAATTGATCCTCGAAATTTCATTAAAAATAAATTCAAATCGAATATGAATAATAGCATTAAAAATGGAATACATTGAAGTATAATTAAAGTGTAAGATAATGTTCTATACAAAGTCAGGAATATCTAAACTGCTGTTTCGAGGGTGGAAACGCACTCGCTGGCGGTTTTACGAAATCTGGTTCCGATCCAACCATAGATATCCGAAGATTACTCTATATTTCGACGTAAATTTTGAATGAGTTCATTCAGTCTGTAGGCGTATCGTTTGAGGTCGAACGGCCTTGCGTTCGACCGCCAGACCAAACTACCATGGGCGAAGTTGCAGTTACAAGGCGGCTTCAGAAGCCAACACGTGCGTGCCGATTCACTTTATGTATAATGAACCGCGATCGTCACGAGCAAACGGCTTTCGACTGCCCCTCGGATCCGTGGACGTGATGTAAATATAACTCGGAATAAGGCTTACCAGGATTATGCAGGGTGGCAGGTGCATGAGCCGCGGGAGGTTGGATGCCAGGTACCTGGCCAAGCTGCATCGCGTGTCCCTGGAGAGTGCTTAAATGTCCCGAGATCGAAGCGGCGTGTCCTTGCAGGGCGCTGCTTAGCGTGGAAGGCGCTTGGGCCACGGAGGACGTCGTACTCGACATCTGGACAGTGGTACCAGGTACTTGGTGAATGCCGGTCTGTTGTAATGCAGTCGGACTGTGGTGCAACGCGGACGGTACCTGAGCTATACCGGGTGGCATTTGCGGTACCTGCGGTATTTGTGCAAGCTCGTGGCTAGCGTACTGGCAAGGTGTTAACGGCAAATTGGCTACCGAGTGTGCTATGCTACCCGTGTGTTTGCGCAACCGCGCTCTGCGATTGCTAAACCATACCTAAAATTGAGAGAACCATTTAATGGATTTACAGAATGTGGTACAGCTTGGGACTAGGATTCCTGGTCAGCTCTGACTTGCGTTAATTTCCCACAAGATTAAAAAACGATAGTAAATCTAGTATAATAAAATAAATTCAATAAAAAGTAGTTTTAATATTTCTTAATATTGTTATGTATTATTCCTATGGCGTAATATATATTATAAGACTCAATTTGCCTGTAAAAAATTATTCAAGGGAATGAAAGTGAGCAGAAATGAGGACAGTTACCTTATCTAGCAGTTCTTTCCTTATTATTATGAGAATTGATACTGAATAATGAAAGAGTATTCATATTTATTAAAACATTCTCTTCAATGAATAGGTAATTTGCATAATAATCAGTAAAACTGTCGGACTTAAACTAAAAAACGATTGGAAACTCACTTGAATTCTCGCCTCGGTGAGGCCAGTTCTTTGAGCGAGTTCCTCCCTCGCGTAGACGTCCGGATACTGAGCACGTTGGAACGCGGTCTCTAATTGTTCTAGTTGTTCCCCGGTGAACGTCGTCCTGCTTCTGCGCTGCTTTCGCTTCAACGGAATGCCCGGCTCGCTTTCCGTGTCAGATTCCTCTCCGCATCGGCCTGCGGACCATACAACACTTCATCTGTACTACGCGGATTCGTTTCGAGCTGCGCGATTCATTTTAACGGTTAATTAATCTCGTTCTACGATAGTTAATGAATGGTACGGAAATTTTACATAGCCTGCATTTTACTTGCCCTACTTGTGCTTTATTAATCATTCAAATGGTAGCTTAGAAGCATAGGTATAGTTCTCGTAACCAAGGTACACATTGTAATAGTTTCTTTGCAACTTGAATAGGCTCATCCTAAGAAATATACAACAAATATCTTTTCTTTCCCCATGTAATACTCGTATTCAGTGCCTCGTAACTACCTCTCAATTTATATATCCTCTTACTACTCATTGTGCTCCTCTTTCAAAACTATCTATGACTACTTTCTTTCGTATTTGCCCGGCGAATAATACCGGCGGCTCGTGCGTCTGTTTACTTCGATCTAAGGGGAAGACACAACAATATGCAGCTCTGAAATAAGCCAATAAGGATGACCACTGCGATCATGTCTGAGAACAGTTCGCTCTTAAGTCGACTCTAGCCCCATTGTCCCATCGGTTGTCCACCTATTATCGTCCAATCGAGCGTCTACGAGCCTAGGAACCATTGTGATCGATTCCTCGGCGTCGATGCTCTTTTCTCCGGGTTCTTCGAACGCGTTCGATGTATCGTCGAGAGAAAATGGTATCCACGGCCACGGTCGATTGAATTTTCGATCGTTGACGCGTCTCGCGTGCTCTTTTCGAGGCAACGAGCTCTGTTATGACAGGAAACCGTCGTTCGCGTCCCTTAGACGGGGATTACTCTTGCTCTATGTTTACCTACCTGTGCCTGTGGATCAGCCACGTGAAGCGGAATTAAATGCCGTGAAAGCTACGCGATTCGTTCGACGTTCGATCTCAACGTCGCTTATGCATGATTTTGTCCGCGAGGAAGCATGAAATGGACACTGAACGCAATCATGCATTAACTTCGAAAAGAACTTATGTCTTCATGAAATCATGATCAACTATTATAATTTTTAATCAACTAAACACGATTCTTAAAGAACTGGCAACGATTTATGACACGAACGGTATTTTCTGAATACCGAAAAGTCTTGGGCCATATATTTTCTAGGCCAATATCATCAGTTTATTTGCTGTTTTATTTCAATGAACCTTCGGAGGCAAACATCGACACCAACAAAGGCGCCGACATTGTGTCATCGAGAAAACGGAGGGAATCCTTCTTTCGGAAAACGGCAACGAGTCATGTTTTGCTCTTTCGACAGTGGGACCTGCCCCCCGATGAACAATACCCTCTTTTCCTGCGGTTTTCACTTTGTGCGCAAAAGCGGCACAGCGCAGCGCGACAGGAGTGTGCAATTTGCCTGTCGAATTCCCAGCGGCGGCCTTTTGAAGTGCCTCCACTGTGAACGCGGCCGCGTCACATTTGTCAGAATCTGATCCCTTTTCTTACGTGATCTTCGGCATTTCTGCTGCCACTCATTCTTGTGCCGCATTAAAAATTATCAGATTCCGAACATAGCGTTTTATTTATTTCTTTATAATAAGATTTATTAATTGCGTGTTGAGTTTATCTTACAGTTAATAAGA